CTCTCGCAAGTCATTTGATCTCTCTTTCTTTTCTGAATTATCTCTCTCTCTCTCTCTCGCAAGTCATTTGATCTCTCTTTCTTTTCTGAATTCTCTCTCTCTCTCTCTCTCTTTGATCTCAAGTCATTTGATCTCTCTTTCTTTTCTGAATTATCTCTCTCTCTCTCTTATCTCTCTCGCAAGTCATTTGATCTCTCTTTCTTTTCTGAATTCTCTCTCTCTCTCTCTCTCTCGCAAGTCATTTGATCTCTCTCTCTTTTCTGAATTATCTCTCTCTCCCTCTCTCGCAAGTCATTTGATCTCTCTTTCTTTTCTGAATTATCTCTCTCTCTCCCTCTCTCTCGCAAGTCATTTGATCTCTCTTTTCTTTTCTGATCTCTCTCTCTCTCCTCTCTCGCAAGTCATTTGATCTCTCTTTTTTCTGAATTATCTCTCTCTCCTCTCTCTCATAAGTCATTTGATCTCTCTTTCTTTTCTGAATTATCTCTCTCCCCTCTCTCTCTATAAGTCATTTGATCTCTCTTTCTTTTCTGAATTATCTCTCTCTCTCCCTCTCTCTCGCAAGTCATTTGATCTCTCTTTCTTTTCTGAATTATCTCTCTCTCTCTCTCTCTCAAAGTCATTTGATCTCTCTTCTTTTCTGAATTATCTCTCTCCTCTCTCTCGCAAGTCATTTGATCTCTTCTTTCTTTTCTGAATTATCTCTCTCTCTCTCTCTCAAGTCATTTGATCTCTTTTCTTTTCTGAATTATCTCTCTCTCTCCTCTCTCTCACAAGTCATTTGATCTCTCTTTCTTTTCTGAATTATCTCTCTCTCCCTCTCTGAATCATTTGATCTCTCTCTCTTTTCTGAATTATCTCTCTCTCCCTCTCTCAAGTCATTTGATCTCTCTTTCTTTTCTGAATTATCTCTCTCCCTCTCTCTCATAAGTCATTTGATCTCTCTTTTTTCTGAATTCTCTCTCTCTCTCTCTCTCTCTCGCAAGTCATTTGATCTCTCTTTCTTTTCTTAATTCTCTCTCTCTCTCTCTCTCAAAGTCATTTGATCTCTTTTCTTTTCTGAATTCTCTCTCTCTCTCTCTCTCAAGTCATCATTTGATCTCTCTTTCTTTTTCTGAATTCTCTCTCTCTCTCTCTCTCTCTCGCAAGTCATTTGATCTCTTTTCTTTCTGAATTCTCTCTCTCTCTCTCTCTTTTGATCTCTTTTCTTTTCTGAATTTTCTCTCTCTCTCTCTCTCATTTTTTTCTTTCTTTTCTGAATTCTCTCTCTCTCTCTAAGTCATTTGATCTCTCTTTCTTTTCTGAATTATCTCTCTCACTCTCTTTCTCTGTTACTTCTTTTATCTCCAGCATTTTTTTTTACTTCTGTCTCTCTTTGTTCTATGTCCAGTTTTCTCTCTTGCGCAATGTAGCCGGTAATCTGCTACTATAATTATCCCTATTCCTATATATATATATATATATATATATATATCCTTTTTTTTGACTCAATCCTTTTTTACTTCGTCTTCTCATTGTCTTTTACTTTCTCTAGCCTTTATTGTTCTCCTCTTTTCACTTACTTTTTACACTTTGTTCCTCCCTCTCTTCCACTTTCTCTCTTTTTATTCTCTTTTCTTCCTCCTTTTTCTCTCTCTATTTATTCTATGTTCCATCTACTCTTCCACCTCTCTCTATTCTCCTCTCTTCTACTCTCTTTCTTTCCTGTTCTCTCCCCCTCTTTCTGTTATCACTTCTCTTCTCCGTCTTCCACGTCGTCATCATTTTTCTGTTTCCTCTTCTTCCTCACACTCTCTTCTATGATTTTCCTCCTTTTACCCCTGTCTCTTTCCGACATGTTTTACCTATTCTTCCTTCACTCTCTCTCTTTCTTCTTCATTCTCCTCTCCCCCCTCTCTCATCTCTCTCTCTATATCTCCCTCTTTTTTATTATGATTCCTCTTTCTCGCCTCCCCTCTTCCACCGTTCTCCGTTTTCTCACTCTCTCTTTATTCTATGATCTGCCTCCTTCTCCAATCTTTCTTTCATCGTCTGCTACCCTCCTTTTTTTCTACTTTGGTATTTTTCTCTCTCAATTTCTTCTTTGTCCTTCCTCTTTCTCTACTCTTTTGATTTTTCTATTCTTTCTTACACTATCTCTCTCTTTTTTCTTTCTTTTTTTTTGTCTCTTTTGTTACTTTCTTTTTTTTTTCTCCTGGTCACATTTTTCTCTTTGTCATTCTCTTTCATCTTAATCTTTCTTTTATGTTTTGCTTTTGTCTCTTCTTCTTTTGCCATTTTTTCCCCTCTTTCTTCCGCTTTATACTTTCTCTATCTCTAACTTCTCTCTTTTACTCTGCTCTTTCTCTCTGTCTTTTACAGACTTTCCTCATTTCCCCATCTCCACCCCCCGCCTTGATCCATCTTTTATGAGTTTGCTTTTTTTCTATCCTTTCATTCTGATTCTCACTCTCTCTAGCTTCCTCCTATCTCCATTGTTTCTCTCTTCCTCTTCCCCCTTCTCTCTTTTATTTCTTTTTATTTTACTTCCTCCTCAATTCATACTCCGATTTCGTCTTCTTTTTCTCGTTTTTCTCTTCTCTTACACATTTTTTTCCTTCTCTTTCCTCACACTCTTACTTGCTTCTCTACTTATCCTCTCTCTTTCACTCCATTACATCTCTCCACCTCTCTCTCTCTTCCTCTTCCTGTCCCACTACTCTCTCTGTTTCCTTCCCTCGCTTTTATAGATGTAACGGTGTGACCAAGAGCGGCAGCGGCCTAATTGATCTGGGAAGCCGGGGCAGTGGGACAGGTGCGAAAGTACGGCTTGTTAATCAGAAAATCTTTTAGGCTTTGTTTGAAGGTCACAACACTTCTCACCTGTCACTTCTCACTAGCACACACAGACACAGACATACACACCCACATAAACGGCTTGCAAATAACAGCATACACAGACATATCCGCACGCATTTACATAAGACTAACACAAATACATACTTTTATATACTGAAAGTTACATTTATATACTAGCAAACAATAAGAGGTGCCGATATAAATGCGAATATATTCAGACAAATGTTTACTTACACGCAACGCTGCAAGAAAAGTTTGAAAATTTAGCAGCCCAACTAATATGATCCTTTAAGAAATTGGGCTTAGTCTGACAAAAGGTCAGATTTCTGAAGCTCTCAGCGAGGATCTAACTCTCCATATAGCAATAATAGTCTATGCGACTGTAGACGAGATGCCAGAACAGGGCCAATTATATTGGATAAGCTCCAGAGGCGGATATGCAATATAGTTGGCTCTGTTCTGGCATCTCGTCTACAGTCGCTCTCTCACAGACGCGCCTTCGCCTCTCTCTGTCTTTTTTACAAATACTTTCATGGTAATTGCTACGAGGAGCTGCATTCGCTGGTTCCCAGACTTCATGAATTCAAGCGCCCTACGAGGCTGGCATCCCGCTCTCACCCTTTCACTGTTGAAACTATTAAATGTAGCCGTCTCTTCTACTCCAATAGCTTCATGTCTCGCACCTCTCGCCTGTGGAACTCCCTTCCCTATTCCAGTTTTCCTGAGAGCTATAATCTCCAGCTATTCAAATGTAATGTCAATCGACATCTCCAGTTGCCTTGATCTATCCACTACCCTTCTCCTCATCCTTTCCTCTATCACTCCTATCTGATCTTGCTCCAAATCTTCTGTAACCCCTTACGTCCTAGCGGCTTCCCGCCTTGCTTGGGGTGAAACGTTTAAAAAAAAAAAATGAGATTAGCCTGGTAAAAATTGTTCTCGTTTTTTTTCTTTATCCTCTGTAATCTCACACTTTTTTTTCTTGTATCATTTCCTACACCCCCCTCCTCACTGCTTTGTTTTTTCTTCTATGGCTTCAAACACTTCCTCGCTGTCTCTTACTTTATCTTCTATGATTTCCCGTTCCTTCCTCACTTTCTTTTATAATCTCCCACCTCTTCCTTACTGTCTCTCTCTCTTTCTTCTATAAACTCCCACCTCTTCTTTCCTGTCTCCCTTTCTTCTATGATCTTCCCTTCTTTCAAAATGTCTCGCTTTCTTCTGTGATCTCCCGCCTCTTCTTTCCTGTCTCTCTTTCTCTCACACTCTTTCTTCTATGATCTTCCCTTCTTTCTCACTGTCTCGCTTTCTTCTATGATCTCCCACCTGTTCTTTACTCTCTCTCTCTCTCTCCCTCTCTCTCACTCTTCTATGATCTTCGCTTCTTTCTTACTATCTCGCTTTCTTCTATGATCTCCTGCCTCTTCTTTCCTGTCTCTCTCTCTCATTCTATGATCTTCCCTTCTTTCTTACTGTCTCGCTTTCTTCTTTGATCTCCCACCTCTTCTTTACTGTCTCTCACTCTTTCTTCTATGATCTCCCACCTCTTCTTTACTGTCTCTCTCTCACTCTTTCTTCTATGATCTCCCACCTCTTCTTGACTGTCTCTCTCTCACTCTTTCTTCTATGATCTCCCACCTCTTCTTTACTGTCTCTCTCTCACTCTTTCTTCTATGATCTCCCACCTCTTCTTGACTGTCTCTCTCTCACTCTTTCTTCTATGATATCCCCCTCTCCTTTACTGTCTTTTTTCTTTCTTCTATCATGTCATGCATCTTCCTCCTACCTCTTTCTCTCTCCTTATTCTATGATCTTCTACCTATTCCCCTCTCACTCTCTCTTTTTCTTCTCGGGATGCTGCTAACCATAACAGATTAACCCTGAAAGGCTTTTGCTAATCTGGTTCACGTACTTTTCACAACAATTTCGCAATGCGTAGATTTGCGAAGGTTTCCCTCGAAGTGCATAATGGCAGGAAGGAAAGAGAAAAAGAGAGAAAGCAAAGTGTACTAAATTGGGAGACAGAAAAACAAAAACGAAAAAAAGAAAGGAGTAGTGAACAAAAATAAAAGAAAGACAAAGAGAAGAGGAAAGCAAAAAGGAGAGACAAGAAAAGAAAAGAAAAGAAGGTATGATAAAGAGTGGTAAGTAAGATTGAAAAATCAGGAAAGAGAGGAAAGGAAAGAGGTTGAGAGGTGAACAAGACGAGGTCCGACAAAGAAAGTAGGGAGAGAGAGGACAGGATATGGAAAAAAAGGAAGAGGGAGGAGGAAGGAAGTAATAGTGTGAGAGTTGCAAAGATAGGCAAAGCAGAAAAAGGGAGGAGTGACAAGGAAGATTGAGAGAGATAGAGAGTGGGAAGCTGGAGAAAACATGAAAAGAAGGGAGGAAGGAAAAGAGACGGATATAGGTAAAGCATGAAGAGCAGTCAGAGAAAGAGAGAAAAGAGACGAAAAGAAAAGTAACTGAAGATAGGTAGATAGAAAGAAAGAAAGAAAGAAAGAAAGAAAGGAAGGAAGGAAGGAAGGAAGGAAGGAAGGAAGGAAGGAAGGAAAGAAGGAAGGAAATAAATGCAGAGAAAAAAGTAAAGAAAAGGAAAGAAAGAAAACAAACGCAAAGAAAAAAGAAAAAGGAAAGAGAGAGAGAGAGAGAGAGAGAGAGAGAGAGAGAAAACAAACACAAAGAAAAAAGAAAAGAAAAGGAAAGGAATAAATAAAACAAACGAAAAGAAAAAGAAAGAAAAAAACAAACGCAAAAAAAGAAAAAGAAAAGAAAGAGGGAAAGAGAGAGAGAAAGAAAACAAACGCAAAGAAAAAAGAAAAGAAAAGGAAAGGAAAGAGAGAGAGAGAGAGAGAAAAGAACGAGAAAGAGAGAGAGAGAGAAAACAAATGCAACGAAAAAAGAAAAGAAAAGGAAAGGATAGAGAGAGAGAGAGAGAGAGAGAGAGAGAGAGAAAGAAAGCAAATGCAAAGAAAAAAGAAAAGAAAAGGAAAGGATAGAGAGAGAGAGAGAGAGAAAGAGAGAAAGAGAGAGAGAAAGAAAACAAACGCAATGAAAAAAGAAAAGAAAATGAAAGGATAGAGAGAGAGAGGGAGAGAAAAAGAGAGAAAGTGAGAAAGAGAGAGAAAGAAAACAAATGCAAAGAAAAAAGAAAAGAAAAGGAAAGGATAGAGAGAGAGAGAGAGAGAGAGAGAGAAAGAGAGAGAGAAAGAAAGAAAACAAACGCAATAAAAAAGGAAAGGAATAAATAAAACAAACGAAAAGAAAAAGAAAGAGAGAAAGAAAAAAGCAAACGCAAAAAAAGAAATAGAAAGCAAAGAGAGAGAGAGAGAGAGCGAGAGAGAGAGAGAAAGAAAGAAAGAAAACAAACGCAATGAAAAAAGGAAAGAAAAGGAAGAAATAAATAAAACAAACGCAAAGAAAAAGAAAGAGAGAAAGAAAAAAACAAACGCAAAGAAAAAGAAAAAAAAGAGAGAAAGAAAAAAACAAACGCAAAGAAAAAGGAAATGAAAAAGAGAGAGAGAGGGAAAGAAAAGGAAATAAATAAATAAAACAAACGCAAAGAAAAAATAAGAAAGGAAAGATAGAAAGAAAGAAAACAAACCCAAGGAAAAAAGAAAAGGAAAGGAAAAAGAGAAAGAAAAAAGAAAACAAACGCAAAGAAAAAAAAAGAAAAGGAAAGGAAGAAATAAAACAAACGAAAAGAAAAAGAAAAAGAAAGAGAGAAAGAAAAAAACAAACGCAAAGAAAAAGAAAGAGAGAAAGAAAAAAAACAAACGCAAAGAAAAAGGAAAGGAAAAAGAGAGAGAGAGAGGGAAAGAAAAGGAAATAAATAAATAAAACAAACGCAAAGAAAAAAGAAGAAAAGGAAAGATAGAAAGAAAAAAAAACAAACGCAAGGAAAAAAGAAAAGGAAAGGAAAAAGAGAAAGAAAAAAGAAAACAAACGCAAAGAAAAAAAAGAAAAGGAAAGGAAGAAATAAAACAAACGAAAAGATAAGGAAAAAGAAAGAGAGAAAGAAAAAAACCAAACGCAAAGAAAAAAGAAAGGAAAAAAAAGAATGAATGAATGAATGAAAGATAAATCCTGAAAAGTAGCGAGAAAAACATACATGCGATGGAAAATTTATATACAAGAAAGCAGATGACAGAAAGAAAGAAGGGGTGTAAGCGGAGTGAATAAAGAAGAGAAAAAGAGGGAAATAATCAAGATGTCGGAAAAGAGAAAAAGAACCTAGATAAGAAAGAGAAAACACCAGAGAACAGTAAAAAGGTGGAGACATAAGTAATTGAGAGGCGACAGAAGAAAGACCATTTGCTCGCTTTGAAAAGCAAAACAACGATAGAAGCGGATGTTACCCTGCTGGAACGCACCTGCGCGCAACACTGAGGCCAATCTTCCTGCCGATAGTTGCCATGACTTTATGATTATAGATTTGAACTTAAGTGCTACTGCATCTAATCGTATGATCTTTGCCGAATACACATTTTCCGGAATTGGAGCACCTGCAGTATTACTATGATTAGCTAGTTAAATTTGGAAATCTTTCATTATAGGTTCGCACCTTATAATATGCGTCTATATTTGAACATATACTGATGCAATTTTATTAAAGATCAGCTTCGTCAGGCGTCCAGTAGGAATCGAATTCACTGGCAACGATTTAAAAAAAAATAGCTCGCGGGTTATTATTGCTTATCTCAGTCACAAAATTCTTGGGAGCCTCATTTAGTTGACCATTTCTACTGGGTAGTGAGTACGATATTTACTAGGTGCTCCATGCTTTTGGCTTTGAGCCACAACAAAGTTAAGCCTAATAAATAACTGAAAGAAAAATCGGTTTTACTCTTTTGCGCCGACTCAGTAAATATTTAAACGAAGTTTGAAAATTAAAATTCTCAAAATGCTGCTAGACTAAATATAAATTTTTGGTGTTTAAAACTTTTAATCGATTTACATTTACATTTTTTAAAACTAAACCAAAGTTTTTTGCTGTAAAAAAAAATACTTAGCTAATCTCGCAATCTCACATTAAATCATAGATTTTTGTTTTTAGTATCGAATGACACATACACGCACACACATATATATATACAGTGTAAGAGAAACCCGGATATAAGAGAGATTTTCTCTGGTCCCAAATTAGAGCCTGTGTTAATGCATATAAAATAGACCAAACCCGGATATAAGAAAACCCGGATATAAGAGACTTCTTCTCCGGTCCTGACAACTCTCTTATATCCGGGTTACACTATATATATATATATATATATATATATATATATATATACGGAATTAGCAGAGGCGGTTTAACTTGCCCGATCACCAAAGTTTTTCATTTTCAAAATGTTTATTAAACTAAACGGTTTCGCAAAATATATTTAAAAATATATTTCGAAGGATCAAACTAGTATTTTTAGACACTTTTTTTTTCGGTTTTTCAGGTAGACCTGGAATCCATTAATTTCTTGAAACTTTCGATAAACGCCTCGTCTCTCCTTAAATTCGGAACGCCACAAATTAAATTAACGTTGATACATGAGTGACAAATGAAAACCAATCCATACAAAAGTAAAAAATATCAGAATTTCTTTCTTCTTTCTCTCCATATCGCATTCTCTGATGAAGTTTTAATAAAAAAAAAGTTCTATTGATATATATATATATATATATATATTCGTAGATTGTTTTAACATTTAGATATTTATCAAACCTTAACCTCCCAAATATGCACGTTAAATTAACGCGAACTGACAGTGTCTAAGAATTTGAATGAAACCTGTCGTGTAATTTATTGGGGTTGTTGTAACGTCTTCCTTTAATGTCGTTCTTATCATTCACCCCTTAGCCATCTATATCTAGAGACGAGACGCGTTAAATTTGAGCAACATCTAGCCGACACACTGGGGTTAAAATAGGAAACTAAAATGATACATATGACACACTCATATCCTCTCTCCCACCTCACTTCCTCACTTCGTTAATTTTACGTATACTTGATGAGGTCTGTCAAAAACGTGTGAATTTCTTTTTCATTTTCATTTCAGCTTTTGGAAGTAAAAGTCTGATGATCCAGAACCCTGTTAAAGGGGTTATGGTGAAATAACATTACATGGAATCTTAACGTGGTCTGTCTTTTATTCAATATATATATATATATATATATATATATATATATATATATATATATATATATATACCGGGTATAAAAACACAAAATCCTCCAAACTGTGTAACAGCAAAATTGTCCATTTGTTAGATTAAGCTCTGAACCGTTGTATCCTAGAAATGATTAAAGATATCTTACTGGAATTCACCTAGGTTTATATAAGACAAGTGGACTCTACTTTGAGCAATGAGAATGTATAATTACTCTCCAAGCTGAACAGAAGAGTCGAGATTAAATCGATCTTAAACGAAAACGACATGTTCATCAATAATCAACTCGGGCCAAAGAAGATTATGAAAGAGTTCTATGCTCCTTTACGAAAAAAAAAAAAAAACGTAAGGATGCTGGAAATTAAATAAAAAATGAAACAAATCTTCCTTGTCTGCAGTATTTAGTGAAATACATAAATATATATGCATGTATCTATGCATACGGAAATAAATGAATAACAGTAAATATATATTTAAACTTATGAGAAACGCTACTCAAAGACACCAAACAAACTAAAATTTTTATAATGCTAATGTCTGTTTACAACGTGGCATCATTTAAATATTCAAAAGCGTTATCATATGACAATATTCAAGTTCAATGTTCAAACTGTATTTTTTATATTTATTTATAGAATTTTGCCATTATAATATGCATTTTTAAAAAATCTTAGAAAATAAAATAAACTCCTTAAATTCACCATATATAGCGTCATCTTATATATATATATATATATATATATATATATATATATATATATATATATATATATGTGTGTGTGTGTTTGTATATGAAAATATATATATATATATATATATATATATATATATATATATATATATATATATTTATATATTATATGCGCGGTACTTATTAAAAGCGCTCAATATCAGAGATAGAGCTAACATATTTAGTTGGATTGATGTGAGTTTGTGACCCTGGGTTTCACCTAACGATCGCAAAAGCGTGAAACCCAGCGTCGCAAACTCACCTCAACCAAATAAATATATATATATATATATATATATATATATATATATATATAACCAAATATATATATATATATATATATATATATACACACACATACATACATATATATATATATATATATATATATATATATATATATATATATATATATGTATGTGTATATATATGTATGTGTATGTGTGTATATATATATATATATATATATATATATATATATATATATATAAGAATAGTATTTAGGAAACTGTAAGACAAAATGAAAAAAGTTTATTTGTGAAGCGATTCACCCGTTAGATTGGTGTATTTGAGTCATTTCCGGCGTTGTTACAACTTACATTTGAGGAGTTGCATACCAGCTGTTCTGGCCTTTTTAGTGGTTAATTTTCTAATACTTCTTCAGCAGATGCTTTTACGAAATAACATACCTATATTGGTAAGATGTGATGTGCTAAGTATTTGCGAAACAAAAGGCTCATAAAATATTCCGAGATAGAAAAGCTGTCTATCTTGTCAAACCCAACGAATTATATATATATATATATATATATATATATATTATTATAATATATATATAACTCTATCACAACTACAACCGAAAAGAAACTCAACATAAGATTTGTCACAACTACATCTAAAACAATCAAAGACTTAATCAATAAAAAACAAACAACAAGCCAAAACTTAAAGGAGGAATTTACTCTATCAACTGTAATGATTGCCAGAAAGAATATATTGGAGAAACCTCAAGAATTTTAAACAAAAGACTATATGAACACAAGCGGGACATTTTAAAAAATAACACATAAAACGCATTGATTGTTCACCGTAACGAAACTGACTACAATTTTGACATAAAAAATGCTACTCTAATTAAAAGAGAAAATGATTCACTAAAACGAAAATGTCTAGAAAATGTTTTAATCACTAGTTAAGCTATAGTAAATTTAAGTCCAGGTTCTTACAACTCATCACCATTCTTGGCAGATTTTATGTTATCATAATATGACATATTCAAAAAAACAAAGATGGTGGAAGGAAAAGAAAATAAATGAGTTTAGATAGATTGCAAAATTTATTTCAAAACATTCTTTAAAAAAAAAATGAAACTAACAGCATCTCTCGTTCATACAGATGTATAGTCACAACAATGTTAAGAAACCCCGTCGGATGAAATCCTAACGGATGAAATACGTCACAAATAAACTTTTTTTCCATTTTGCCTTACAATTTCCTCAGTTCTATTCTTGATATATAAAAATATACACAGTTAAATCGGGTGAGGTTAATAGTGAGAGAGATAAGTTTAATCTATAGGCGTATATCTCAGGTTATGTGACTGTTATGGAACCTTACCCATAATAACATAATGGACTATTCCATACGTAATAAATACTGCGCCTCAAGAGGAAGCAGGCAGTTCAGTCCGAAGTCGGGCGACCGGCTGATCGGTTGAACTCTCTGCCTTCGGGCGGGGAGGAACCCGAACAAGGCTACGCCGAAGGGCGGATTCTCTTTCGGGGAGATAAACCGACCCTGAACCCTTTTATACGAGTTCAAAGGGCATATTTTGGCCGAGCCCACGGGCTCGGAGATCCCACATTAAACCGGCCTTGTGCCACATGATGCCCTCGTGTTGGGGGGGTGGGTGACTAAATACTGTTCAGTCTGAAGTCTGGAGTGAGGTCTGTCAGGAGTCTGTCAGTCAGTCAGAACGAGTCAGTCAGTCGAGTCAGAGGTAGTCCGAAACAGAGTCGCGTTCAGACAATTATTACTAAACTTGATTGTTCGTACTAACACTTTCTACTTCTCTGTATATATTCCTGTTTGTAATATATCTGTGTTATTCCATATCTGTGTTCGTGTTCTTCTTTATTGGTTCTACCTTGGACTATCACCTTGGTACAAAGAAACCGGACCATAACAGTGACTTATATAGAATTTTACTGGATTCGATCAGAATTTTTCGTAAGTGTTCTTGCAAATTGCAGTTAGATATATGCTTTTTTATAGCACTTTGAACTGATGAATGACACGTGAGGCGTCAACTTAATATATATATATTCTCGGTACGTACTTTTAAAGAATTATTTAACGAAAAATTATACTTTACTACATGCTGTTGAAATTCA